GAGGGCGGGCGGGAGGGGAGCCGCCGCTTGCCCCCGAAGTGGGCCCGGCCGCGCTGGCTGGAGAAGCGCTCCCCGAGCAGTCTCAGAACAAAAACCGCGCCTGGGGAATTGGGCGAATCCCCAAGTCCACCGTGATCTACTTTAATGCAGTGGAAGGCTCTTGGCTACTTTGGGGGTTACTTTGGGTGTTTCTGGCGGTTGTGCTTTAGGGAGCCTTCACTGGGGCCATTTTATGTTAAAAAAGAGGACGAAGGTTGAAAAGCACTTATCTCGGTTCCTTCCGAATCGGTAAAATGGCGAAGGGGAAGCAAAACCCCCATCGTATCTTCGACTAGCAAAAGCACCAAAGCAAACAAAAAAAAAAAGCCTACAGTGGTCAAAGTGCCCCTGCTTTCGCCTTGAAATTTGCCTACTTCTTCCCCATTTGTCCCTTTTTGGTTACTTGCGATCACGTAGGTTTGCAAAAAGCAGTCACATAAATAACCTTTTCAGTCACCAACGCAATGTGATCACTAGTCCACCCCACTCTATTATTTTTATTGTGACAATAAAACACGTTTTTGCCCGGTCCCAAAAGCCGCAGAAAAGCCCGCGGCCGCCCGACTCCGTACCGTTGGCGACTCGGGTCGATCCATCATGGCTGCGGCCGCTTACCCTGCTTTTCAGTCCCTGAGCTTGTGGTCCTCCTCCCTTTGGCTGCCCTGTTTATATAGAGCCATTGCCGCTCTCTAATATAGACTCTGCCAGGATGGGAAGGTGCTTTTCAGGCCTACGTCACCACCTCTCCATTTAAACACCAGATCCGGCTTTAAATAGTGAGCGCTGCTGAGAGCGGGGCTGGGAGGTTCGTGCTCCCTAGGCGAGAGGCAGGCGCGTGCCGAGCTCAGTTTATTTCTAGGTCTTTTCCTTATACTGTAATTTCGCACCCAGCCGAGGCTGCTTTCAGAGTCCCTAGTTTTTGTTTTGATGCAGCAGCTGGGATTGCCATCCTTGTTAGGGGAAAACAGAATTGCTGTCCCTTGTTTATATTCTATTAATTTTTGTTTTTAAAGAGAATTTTAGCTCATGTCTAATCGTTCTTGTATTAATAGATGTATGCACTGAGGGAATTAAAAAAAAAATGCCTTCTACAAGTATTCATCAAGTATTCAGGAGATAATATTAGAAATATAGCTCCTAGTATTTCATCATGTTTGCTTTTAATAAGTATCAATGACACGAAGCTTTTCAAAGAAATAGATAAGTGACTAAAGCTTCAGTGTAGGACCTTTTGTCCACAGTACATTTATGGATATGGGAATTGTGAGTAATGAGAGTGAGGAGACTTAGTGGATTTAAAAAAATTATTCTAAGTAGACGATATTTTTATTGTATTGGGTATCGATATGATATGCAATGTAGAAATTCAATTTTCTAATATTGCACCAGGGGACTAACTTTTGAAAGGAACCTTCTAATTAAACATTAGGTAGTGCCACTGTGGCCTTTTATTTTACCAGTTTTTAAGTTTGAAAATAATCTCTATTTTGAAAACCAGGTCAAACCTCCTAAATTGCTTTGTATTTCATAAAAGGCAAAAAACTTCAACTCAAGTAAGTTTAGCATTTTAAATAATAATTTGGAAATTGCTTATTTCAAAAAGTGCCTGTGTACTCATACTTTTAAAAACATCAGTATTTTGAGGGCTTTTCAATTTATGAATGGTTCTGCTCAATTATTCTTTAGGCGTATGGTTCATGAAGAGTACACATTTTCCTTCAACTCTAGTGCTTATGAATCCATTAAATGGTCAAATTGTGGCTTAATTAAGGCACAAAAGCAAAATCTTAAAATTTGATTCATTAAATAGGGAGTGTCTAAAGAAAACACATATATATCTATGTCTGGATCTCAGCATAGGATTTTTGGGGGGGACTGAAAACATTTACTTTGATGAAAACTATATATCTTGAAAAAATACTACCAGTTTAAAGTTATGCTGCTGCTTTATAATGCTTTAAGGAGTAATTACTTTATAAATGTACTTTTGTAATTCAGTAGTTAAAGCACTATAGGTAAGGGGGTGCTCGTAGATATGCTTTCCTTAAATATAGAATCAATGTTAAAATAAGGAGGCCCTGTAGAGATGCACATTTTTACACATGAGTAAGTTGAAGTTCACAGAGACAGATATGGCAAAATAAAAGAGCAAGTTAATGGAACAGCAAAGATGAGAACCCAGATGTATGAATTGTTTTTCTGGTTGTAATGAAAAGGAAAAAATAGTTCTTAATATTGTAAGGAGGAACTTATTATTTGTATTTTTGGTAGGCAGGGACACATTTTCTTAGAGGATTCCCCTGCGATAACAGTATTACTGACAGTGATGCTAATGAAACATTTATTTCTTTTTCAGTTTTGCTTCTGAGAGCAAATCTTTGGTTTTATTGGGTAACCAGCAACATTTACCTTAAGCAAGATATGGAACACAAATAATGACAAAGCATTAAAAAAAGACAGTTAATCTTAACTCTGTGTGGATAGGATTTATAATGAGGCAGCTCCAGTTTTATCACTCTGACATGTAAACTTCCTTTTGTCTAACATATTAAAAATAGGATGTGGGTTGGATAAATTATTGTTTCCCAATTTTTGGTTTTTAAAAAATACAGTAGCCCCACCGCCATCTGTACTTTCAGTTACGTGTGGTCTACTGAGATCTGAAACTATTAAATTGAAAATTCCAGAAATAATTCATAAATTTGAAATCTCCCGCCACTCTGCACTGCAGAGACATGAATAATCCCTTTGTCCAGTATCCATGCTGCATACACTCTTTGCCCGTTATGTCAACTGCGATAGTATCAGTGCTTGTGTTCAAGTGACACTTATTTTACTTATGCCCCAAAGGGCAAGAGTACTGCTGCTGGCAATTTGGATATGCCAGAAAGAAGCGATAAAGTGCTTCCTTTAAGTGAAAAAGTGAAGTTCTCCACTTAATAAGGAAAGAAAAAAGATGGAAAAAAAAAAATCGTGTGCCAAGGTTGCTAAGATCTGTGGTAAGAGCACATCTATGCCTGAAATTGTGGAGGAGGAAAAAGGAATTCCTGCTAGTTTTGTTTGCTGTCATACCTCATCAGACTGTATAAGTTACGGACACTAAGCATGATAAATACTTAGCGAGTATGGAAAAGGCATTAAATTTGTGGGTGGGATATTTTGGAAAATTTTTCAAAAATTAAATGTTTGAGAGAGACACTGAGACCACATTCACATAACTTCTATTACAGTATATTGTAATTATTTTATTATTGTTAACCTCTTACTGTACCTAATTTATAAATTAATCATTTGGGATTAGTACTAATCGGCTTCAGGCGTCCACTGGAGGTGGTGGAATGTCAGTAATCCCACGGCAGAGGAGTTGGGGGGAGACTACTGTACATTATACTTTTCAAAGTATTTTCATATCTATTCTCATCCTTTTGGCAACCTTCTAGGAGTCAGCTTCCCCCTACACCCTCAAGTAATACCAACAATAAAAGTAATAATTAAAAACATAAACATCAAAGTTTATGATTCCTTTCATAGCATCAGCTGAGCAGTAGTAGGAGAGAAATCTAAGAAAGATCAGTGTGCCTTGTTCTGGAATTTTTAGGTCTCTTCTTGTAGGTATGTAAATAGTTCAAAGGGATAACAAAGATAACAGACTGGGTAATGAAAACAGAAGTTAGGTAATTTTTAAAATTCGAATAGTTACTGGGTTCCGATTATATCCAGAGAAATGACTGTAGTACATAAGGTTCCCTAAAGTCTAAGACATTGTGGCAATGTTACGAGATAAAATAGGGATTAAACCATATAAGGAATAATAGGAATCAAACATACTATTCCGTAAAGGTATTATATGATCACATTAGGTGTTTTGACAACAGGAAATTGTAACTGGAAATTGCATGGCCCTTGTATGCATAAGGACCTTGTATATGTGAATTGGTTTAAAGGCTTAAAACTTATAATATGCAGTCATCAAATAGTGCAGTCTAAGGCAAATGATGTTTACTAAGATGTAACTATCTTTCAAGTTATATCTTCTAAAATAAGTTTTAGATAGTTAAAAAAATACTATTGAGTTTGTTTTGAATTTGTAAAAATGTGTTACATATTTTAATATGTGAAAAATGTCATTTTCATCATCTTTTTATTTTTCATTTAAAGCCTAAATTATACAGATCTGTGATTGAAGATGTTATTAATGATGTGAGAGACATCTTTCTGGATGATGGAGTGGATGAACAAGTTCTGATGGAACTAAAAACTGTGAGTCCCCCCCCACCCCGCCCCCACACACACTTTGTTTTAAACATTCTCTTTAGCTATAATGTTTCCATGGGAATAACATTTGACTTTGTTGCGGGAGGCAGTGTAGTCAAGTGAATGGTGCTGGTTTTTTTGTTTTTTGGTTTTTTTGGAGGGTGTTGGTTTTAAATCTCAACTCTACCATCAGCCATTCTTTCTCTAACCTTAGGTAAACTACTTATTTCAGTTTCCTTGTATGTAAGGTGGGAATTAGTAGTACTTGTGGGTTTGTTTTGAGGATTAAATGTAATAACCATATAAAGTGCTTATCGCAGTGCCTGGCAATAGGATTAGCTGTTATTAATGGATAGTTAACATTCTACATTTACAGTCTAATTACTTGACATACCTATAAGTATTTTTTCTTCCTTTTTTATGGTCTTAATGTACTTATATTCTAAAATGTGTTTATGTTTTAGAGATTGAATAAGTGCTTGGTAAAAAAAATTCATGTTCTTGAGTCTGATACTTTATATGGACCAAATGTGAGGTTTATCTTGTATATTTTTTTGGGGAGCAGATTTTCTGTCTTTTGGATTTCCTTGGATTTTAGCAGAAATATTTAGATATTTTCATGTAGCATTTGTGTTTTCTTGGTGGTGTAGTGACTCATGAAATTATAGTATATTTTTGCCTTATTGTTCAGGGCAGTGGTTCTTAAAGTATGGTCCATGGACCTCTTGGACTTCCCACAGGCTCTTTTAGGTGATCCATGTGGTCGACCAGATGCCCAAGTCTGAATAATTACAGTTTGTTACATTTTCAGTAAAAGTCATGTCCCGTGAAAAAAGTGACCAAGAGCTTTTCTTGAGAGCTTTGAGAGCTTTGCTTCCTGTTTTGATGCACTGAATAGTAAAAAGGATGTTTACTTAAGGGTTGAGATGAGATCAGAGTTGATATTAAGAAATACAGTTGTTTGGTATTCTATAATGAAATGTATTAACATTTGCAATATCTACATAATTTACCAAGCTCATATTTTCCAAATGACTAATGCACGATATTGTAGAATCCCTTCAAGTGAAAGATAAGTTGATTTTAATCTAAGAGGGTGTTATTGGTATATAGTTTCAGATTCTGCATTGCAACTAACTTTTAAGAAACCATCACTTAAAATACTTTTTCCTTTCCCAACTATTTAGCTGTGGGAAGGCAAATTTTCTTCATATACTTCAACCAGAATGACAGCATGAATGCAGAAGCAAATAGGAGACTCCAGCTATTTTCATTTAAGCCATTTCTCATTAAATTTTATTTGGCACATATGGTTATTTTCATTAAAAATATTTATGTTAACATGTAATGAAAACATTTTTAAATGAATTAGTAAATATTTTTTAAAAATCTTAGTTATAATTTCATAAAAGCTCTTTGACATCTTCAGTAATTTTTTTGAAAGTGATAAAGGATCCTGAGACCAAAAAGTTTTAAAACTGCTGGCTTAGAAATTGGGTATTGAGCTCCTTTAGAACTGTGTACAAATAAGTTATCACATAAGTTATCACAGTTAATTCTAAGGAACATTTTGTTTTATTTATCCGTTCAGTGGAAGTATGGAGGCTGTAATTTAGCAACTTATTATTTATAAACAAATCTCACCTTTATTGTGGTGATCTTAGAATGTTTAGGCATCGGTGAGTAACTTCTGTAGAGTTTTGAGTAAGGACCTGCCCATGTAAGGAAGGAAAAATATGTAGGCTTAAGTGAGATGATATATTTATTTACCTTGACAGAAATGTAATTGTTACTAACACTGAAGAGTAGGGATCGAAAAATACAAGTGAAAGAATGTCAACTCTGAGATGTGAGTTGGAAGAAGAACGATATAAACTGCTCAAACAGCATAAAGTATCTTGGGGAAATGAATAAGAATAGAATAAGCTTATTTTGATTCCTTCATGTAGGTGGAGTGAATATTTTACACACTTAAATGGTTTTTGTTGTGTGAAGGCACAAAACTTTTAGGTGTTAAAAATCAGTCCCAGAGACTTTAATTTACCCTAGGTCAAACTAATGGTCAATCCAGATGGTTTGTTATATACTCTTGCTTTTCACAAAGTCTGGGGAATTGATTTTTCCTACTAGTCCCAGTAGAATCAAGGCATTCTCTCCAAAAATGAATGAACTGTCTTTGAGACCAAATAGCTCCACTTGCATTTTTACTACATTTGACTTTTTAAGTATGCATAAAAGTATACATAAATATACATAAAAACATACATGTAATACATATTTAAATATACATATTTATATGTACATAAAAATATACAAGTAATACATATTACGTGTAAGTAACATGTAATACATATTTAAATATGCATATTTAAATATACATAAAAATATACATGTAATACATATTACATGTAAGTAACATTTATGTTTTATAGGTTATACACTGATTTTTTTGTTTAATAGTTAGTTTTTAATGAAAAAAATTGTGCCTAATTCAAATTGGAATCCCTAGCTTCTACCACAGTGCCTGTCATATGTGGTTGGCATTCAGTAAATATTTAATTTAACTGGTTAATAACAAATGTGACTCCAGAATTTAATCAAACAAAGTCTTTTAACATGTTGATTTTTAAATGGGGCATGCTCATCTATACTGGGTTATAACTGGATTAAAAATAAAACTGTTATACTAAAATAAGTTTGTTATTTTAATTCTTTGCACTAAATTTCTTTAGGATCTCAGTAGGATTTCCAGAATGTGCCCTAGTTTTAACATTTTGACAACCAGCACTACTAATAAAACTTTCTATGGCGTTGGAAATATTCTTTATCTGTGCTCTCCAGTATGGTAGACATATGTGGCTATTTAAGCACCGGAAATATGGTTAGTGGAACTGAAGCGAATTTTTATTATAATTAATTTAAATTGCCATGTATGGCTAGTGGCTACTGTACTGTACTTTGTGGATTAGACATTCTGGTTAATAAAAACATTAATTTTATATTTTATGGTTTATGAAAGACTTTTTCATTAGCCCTAACCCCGTGTACCCCTTTTTTGGCCATTTCACAAACTTAATCAAAAGTTTCCGTATGGCTGTGAAGGATACAATAGTGAATTAGGTTATGAATGAAGATGAGTAATGAGAGTGCATGTAATTTGAAGTTTATCTAGCTAATACAGGAAGGGCAGTGATTAGGTTATCTCTTGAAACATGGGCTTACTTTATTGTATGAACTATGAGAGATAGACAAAAACATAAAACAAAGTCTTGATTTTTAGTAAATCAGTACTTGAATGTGAATTGTATTTGGATTGATGAGTGACTATTATACTAGTGGGAATGACAGTCTAGATTTCCCCTTTAAAGTGAATATTAAAAATTATCCTGATTTCTAGACTGTCAGTCCTACCCATATCCAAATAGCAAGTACTATGGGAGATGAAAAACACAGCCTCTTTTCTCAGTGAAACAAAGTGAGAAGAATTGTCTTCTCAATTGGAGACAAATCTGAAACTCAGCTTATCTGCCTCTAGATCAGGTTTCTTAGCCTTGGCACTACTGATATTTTGGATCTGTTAATTCTTTGCTGTAGAGTGTTGTCCTATCTATTGTAGGTTGTTTGCATAACTAGCCTCTGCCCACTAGATGCCAGTAGCACCCTTCAATTCTAACAACCAAAAATGTTTCTAGACATTGCCAAATGTCCCTGTGGGGGGGGGGGACCACAAAACCACCCCCAACTGAGAACCACTATTCTAAATTCACCCTAAATATATATAAGTACTTGGACCATAAGTTGAATAATAATCTATTATTTTGCTTCATTTGCTCTTGGGGAAACCTTTGTCCCAAACAATTTCTAAAGAGTCCAGAAATGCAGTTCTCTTATGTTTTATCCAGGAGCTAGATGTTTTGTGAAATAAGGAGAATCTTTCAGAATTTCTAGAAATTAGAAAGCAGAAACTTGGACCATAGTTGGGATTATGGTGAGGCAAGCAAGGTGCTTAGGGTACAAAATTTAAAGGACATTCACTCTTCACTCTCAGGGTGTGGCCCTGACTGCATACACTGGAGTGAGACTGCCTGTATTATGTCCCAGTTTTGTGTGCTATTAGTTGGTGATGTTGGATAAGTTACCTAGCTTCTTGTTCCTTGGGTTCTTTTTCTGCAAAAAGGAGATAATAATGCCATGCCTATCTTACAGGATTGTTTTTTGTGTGTGTGAAAATTGAGTCTGTACATGTAAAGTGTTTACAGAGTGCACTGTAATCTAGTTACTATGATATGCAGATGCACATCTGAACAGAAAATGAATTTTCTTTGAGTTTGATTTCAGAGACCTGGCAAAAATTGTTCAAGAAACAATACCTACTGTGTTGGGGGAAAAGAATACTATAAAAACGAGAAAAAGGGTTTTTACTATTTTCTAAGCAAAATAACAATTTAGTATTCTTGGTTGTCTGTAGTAGTATTATATGATTACAGTTGCCTAAATGGTATTACAGTGTCTATTTTAAATAGCGAATATTTAACAAATAGAACATTTTGATAAAAAATGAAATTGAAAACATTCAGCTAATTTGAACTTTACATTATTTGAAATTATAAGCTATTTGTATGGTACTATTTTTATATTTTTCACATTACCTAGAAAAGTATTCGGTGCTTAATAAATATAGATTCTCAATGGACTATTCCAATGTCCCTTTCCCTTGCCTCCCCGCAAAGCAGTTGAAAATGTGTGGGGGTATGTTTGCTTATCATAATGACTAGTGACCACCTTTGACATTTAGTATGCTAGAACCAAGAATGCATTTTCCGTAAACTTCCTGTGATTCTGTCCTATACAATAAAGAATTGTCCTACCCAAAATGTCAGTAGCATCTTCTAGAGAAACTCTATTCTAGAAAACACCAGTTTGTTTTCTCTTACTTTCTTTGAATTAATATTAAATGTCTGGTAAATTCTTGGTGATTTTGTTAGCTCCCGAATAAGACATAGTAA